CTTTCGAGTTTCCCCCCCTTTCGAGTTTCCCCCCTTTCGAGTTTGCGTAAGGGTTATTCTGGATTTCGAAAACTAGAGTTGTTTTATTTAGAGTATCCACATTGTGGGAGTGGGTGAAGCATTGAAGTTATTATTGGTGGTAACTGGTATAGCCGTGGTAGGTCTGATTCTGTCGTTGGGTGGTTCAATTGCGAATTTTGATGGTGCTAATTTGCGGACTTCTTCAGCTGAGTTCCTGAATGTATGGAGCTCTATACCATGGGCCACTTGGTTCTTTCTGGCGATTGAAGGTGTGCCTCTGGCTGCGGAGGAAGCATTAGTACCGGAGCGTGATGTGCCACGTGGTTTATGTGTAAGCTGGATGGTACTGTTCGGGTTTGGTTTGTCCACAACCATTTGTATTACAGGTTCTATGGGTGAAGTTGATGCCAGTATATCAGATAGTCCATTGGTAGATAGTGTACCGACACGGACTTTAGCGTCTATAGTTAATGTTGTCGGGCTCTTCGGATTGCTAGCCTCTTTCTTTTCTGTGATATACGGATACTCACGTCTAATTTTCGCACTTGCTCGTGCCCGTTTCGTGCCCAAGTTATTAGAGACTACTAACGAACGACACTCCCCATGGGTCGCACTCATCGTGCCCGGGGTTGTCGGCTACGCTCTTACCTTTGTCGCCAGCGGAAGTGACTTATTACAAGCCGCCGTATGTGCCGCTGCTATTTCTTATACCCTAGTCCTTACTTCCTTCATCGTCCTCCGAATCACCCAACCTCAACTAAGGCGTCCCTACCGTGTCAAATGCGGCCTTGCATGGGCATCCCTCTCGCTCATCCTCTCCCTCGTCATCCTCGCAGCAGCCTTCATCTCAAACTGGGTCGTCTCTGTCGCTGTCCTTGGCCTCTTCGCTCTAGCTGCACTCTACTACGCTTTCTACGCACGACATAAAGTCGACAAAGAAAATCAAACCGTCATAACAACAGTCCACCGCCATAACCTAACCGGCCATAACCTACCCACCGACGACCTGACCACCGACGACCTGACCACTGACGATCGATACACTTACACCTGCCATCATACAACCAGCCATCATACAACCAGCCATCATACAACCAGCCATCATACAATCAGCCATCATACAACCAGCCACACCACTAGCTACCTGTCCGTGGACAATTCCAACATCTCCGAACTCATCACACCACCGGAGACTACTGCAAACTGTTTGGACGATATCAAACACCACCTCGCATACCATGAACCCATTCACGGCAGCTCGACGAGTACCTCTTCCACTTCACTGTGCACCATTCCGGTTCACTAACTGCAAATCACCCACAGCTCAACCAGTGTTGGTTTTAAGACAGCGTCAACCTACCGAGCATCTAGTCAGGTGCCGGACGCAGCGTGGACCTTCAATGTGAGTGCAACGCATTTCGGCAGTGGCATTTTTTCAGTGCTGTTGATGAGTTGGTCTATTTCTTGGGTGGCACGAATGAGTCTGGAAGTTGCATGAGGGTAGGCAAAGGCGGTAGTTTATTGACGTCTTGGGTGAGTTGGGCACAGAGCGTTTCGATAACGGGTCCTACGCTGTCCGGGTCATCCTCGTCGGCAGAGTGACAGGCGGTGGTGAGTATGTGGTCCAGTAGGCGGTCGACGGTGAACGCAAGATAAGTAATACTTGGTTCCTTCACAATCTCCCGGCGCAACTCCGGATGCTCGAGCTGCTTCCCCTGAACTCCTAATAAAGCCATACGCTTCACAACCTGGTTGCTCTGCTGCACGAGTGGTCTTGGCTGGCCGCCCATATTCCCACCACCAGGCTGTCCTGATGGCGCATGCATGGTGATTTATTTACACCCCGCCCAAGTTCAAACCCACCCCGCCCAAGTTCAAACCCACCCCCCCC